TGTCTGATGTCTTGTCGGTTTTTATTATTATCATTAATTCTTTTGGGAGCCCCCCGGAGTGGCTGGGGAACTCAGCCATATGTTGTTGTTTAGTCGTTTAGTCGTGTCCGACTCTTCGTGACCCCATGGACCAGAGCACGCCAGGCACCTCTGTCCTCCACTGCCTCCCGCAGTTTGGTCAAACTCATGCTGGTAACCTCGAAAACACTATCCAACCATCTTGTCCTCTGTCGCCCCCTTCTCCTTGTGCCCTCCATCTTTCCCAGCATCAGGGTCTTCTCCAGGGAGTCTTCTCTTCTCATGAGGTGGCCAAAGTACTGCAGCCTCAGCTTCACGATCTGTCCTTCCAGTGAGCACTCAGGGCTGATTTCCTTAAGAATGGATGCGTTTGATCTTCTTGCAGTCCATGGGACTCTCAAGAGTCTTCTCCAGCACCATAATTCAAAAGCATCAATTCTTCGGCGATCAGCCTTCTTTATGGTCCAGCTCTCACTTCCATACATCACTACTGGGAAAACCATGGCTTTAACTATACGGACCTTTGTTGGCAAGGTGACATCTCTACTTCTCAAGATGCTATCTAGGCCTGTCATTGCCCTTCTCCCAAGAAGCAGGCGTCTTTTAATTTCGTGGCTGCTGTCAGCATCTGCAGTGATCATGGTGCCCAAGAAAGTAAAATCTCTCACTGCCTCCATTTCTTCCCCTTCTATTTGCCAGGAGGTGATGGGACCAGTGGCCATGATCTTCGTTTTTTTGATGTTGAGCTTCAGACCATATTTTGCGCTCTCCTCTTTCACCCTCATTAAAAGGTTCTTTACCCTCCTCACTTTCTGCCATCAAGGTTGTGCCATCTGCATATCTGAGGTTGTTGATATTTCTTCCGGCAATCTTAATTCCAGCCTGGGATTCATCCAGCCCAGCCTTTCGCATGATGTATTCTGCATATAAATTAAATAAGCAGGGAGACAAAATACAGCCTTGTCGTACTCCTTTCCCAATTTTGAACCAATCAGTTGTTCCAGATCCAGTTCTAACTGTAGCTTCTTGTCCCACATAGAGATTTCTCAGGAGACAGATGAGGTGATCAGGCACTCCCATTTCTTTAAGAACTTGCCATAGTTTACTGTGGTCAACACAGTCAAAGGCTTTTGCATAGTCAATGAAGCAGAAGTAGATGTCTTTCTGGAACTCTCTAGCTTTCTCCATAATCCAGCGCATGTTTGCAATTTGGTCTCTGGTTCCTCTGCCTCTTCTAAATCCAGCTTGCACTTCTGGGAGTTCTCGATCCACATACTGCTTGAGCCTTCCTTGTAGAATTTTAAGCATAACCTTGCTAGCGTGTGAAATGAGTGCAATTGTGCGGTAGTTGGAACATTCTTTGGCACTGCCCTTCTTTGGGATTGGGGTGTAGACTGATCTTCTCCAATCTTCTGGCCACTGCTGTCAGCCATATGAGCGGGGTATAAATAAATTATTATTACTATTATTATTACTTGTTTTAACCCTTTTTTAATACTGTGAGGGGGGATCTTATGTTGAAGGATAACGATAAAGAAACATACTATTATTATTATTAAGAATATTGGTATCAAAAATAATAATTATTATTATTACTTTTACTGCTAGAGAGAGGGGGTTGTAGGACTGCTTTTTTTCCCTTTTTTTTTTTTTTGCCTCAAGTGCCGAATGTAACTTGGGTGCTGAGCTGCTTTTAAATCTTGCATTTTAAACTGTTGCAACCTGCCCCGGGACCTTAAGGTAAATTAAAATGATGACGTTCTGCGCCTTCAAAGGGCGCTCTGTTTTCTGCTTCACCTCAAAATGTCTCAGGGATCCCTTTTGAGAAAACACCTTGAAAGAGGTAGGAAAACCAGATGCCAAAGATCAGGAAGTCCGGACTTCCGGGTTGGCGCGATCTGGGAATGGCGGATTCCCTCCGAGCTGCGGAGGGAATCGGCTCAGTTGAGGACGGGTCTTGCCGCGCCGGCGACGCGGGGACCCTTAAAAACCGCAGGCGCTGAAGCCTGCGGACTGAAGACTCGGTGGGCGCCTTAAGCGCCCCCCCGATCCACGAAGAGCCTTTTTAAAGGCTGCGGAGAGGATACGGAGGGTGGCGTGGCGCTGAGAGTCGATCGCTACCTCAGCTGAGCGAAGCCGCGAGCCATGACCGAAGAGCGCTGACTTCCTTCCTTGAAATTCGGCTTGAAAAGAACAACCCGTGAGTAAGATGAAATTGGACTTTAAGAATTTTATCCTGTGAATTTGAGACGACCGGGGGTGTGTGTTAAAAGGAAGTCCCCACCCCCCCTCTTGCAGACGATCTAAAGCAACGATATAAGAACTAAGCTGGAGAGCCCACCCTTTGTGGGGTGAGTTAAAAAAAAAAAAAAAAGACTTTAACTTCCAAGATTTGGCAAAAAGAAATTTTGAGCTGGAGAGTGGAGTTTTTGAAGCTTTCTTCCTGTTGTAAACAACCCCCCCTCCCGGGCCCGGGAGCGTCCTGTCTTGGAGCCTGTGGAAGAGGTGCGGAGTTTGACAGCTGTCAAAGCTGTTAAACGGACAGTTTAGAGTGAAAAAATTGCTATTTAAAATCCCTCTGGACTAAAAAGGTATAACTGAACTAAAATCATTGGAAACAAAGTAACAACAATAAGTCAAAGGATTGTTGGAGAAAGTTTACTAAGTAACCAGATCCCCTCTAGGGGGAACTCTGTGAAATTACAATGGCTGTGGATGGAAAGTTACTAGTGGAAATTGAAAGAATGTTTCATTTGGTGGGAATCTTACAAGAGCAGAGTTTTGCTATGAATAAACAACTCATGACCTTGACTTCTGGAACAAGCAGCTCTGCTGAATGTATTGAGGACCTGAATGAGAAAGAAGCCACAGCTGAATTGGAAATGATATCTAAAGAAGTGGAAGAGACTAAACAAGAAAAAGAGAAAGTAAAGCTGGAAAGTACCAACCAGGAGCTGGCATCTGTGGAATATAAGCAAGGAGACTTTTGGATTACACCTACTACAAACCTGCGAAAGATGCAAAAGATGAAGGAGGAGGCCCCGGGAGTTTATAAAATACAGGAACTTAAAATAAAGAAATATGACTGGGGCCTCCACTTTGACTTTGACTTTGAAGATGCAGGCCTTGCGAAAAATTTTCAGCAGTTGCTTCCAAATGCCCTTGTGGGAAGAGAAGATGGCTGGATGATGATAGAACTCTTCCGTGATTTGATGACTGACATAAAGGATTACCAACAAGACCGGCGGAGAGGGACTGAAAGAGACTGGAAGGCCTCGGACGTGAGGAACCCTGGCTGAGAACTGTTATTTTGGACATGTATTGGGAAGGGACGAAAACCGGGGATGGGAGGGAGGGAAGAATAGAATTTTAAAAATACTCAAGACCTTTGGGTTCAGATAATATGACCTTTATTTTAAAACAAAATGGGAAATCGATGGAAGGGAATTTGAGTCCAACTTAGGAAAAATTTTTTCATTATAAAAGAGGTAATATTAAGATGGTTAAGAGGAGAAATACCAATTTGCTGACATAATTTTGGGAATTGGGATGCATGAAGGGGGGTGGGGGGAAGTCAGGGGACAAGGTTAGGAAAGTAAGATTTTCTGAAATTATACATGTTTTTGTCTTTTGTCTTTTTTGTGTGTATTTTGTCTTTATAAAAGGTGAAAAACCAATAAAAATTTTATTAAAAAAAAAAAAAAAGATCAGGAAGTCCACTGAATTTTATCACGGTGCCAAGTTTGCATTCTGGTTATCCTAACAGTCAAAAATAAAAACCACACACACAAATAGATGGAAGAGCAGAAAGTTGCCAGAAACTTTTATTGTAATACTTGTCAACGAACCATTTGAGGGAGGGGACGAAGTCTGAGATGGAATAATGGACTGTAACGCTTCAGATTGTTCCCCAACTTTTACTTTTTTAAAAAGTAAGTCCTTGCAAGTAGAAAGCTAGAGCACCAGGAAGAGGGCTGAACTGGAATCTCTCATTGATTTGCTAGCTTTTTACTTGCAGGTATGCTTTAGAAAGGTGAGGATGCATTCAGAAGTGGCATCCCACTCTCCTAACTCAGGATTTTGTCGTGTGTCCAAACCAGGCCTCGGAGTCACTTTGGAATAAGGAAGGCGCGTAACCCAGATTTAGCTTGAATGCGAAATGAGAATTCCTCCCTCCCACCCAAGCTTTTTCCACATAGCAGAGCTGCCACACCCGAAGGGGCCTTAAGGCTCAACAATAAATATTAAATTAAAAACAGAGTAAAAACCCGTTTTTGCTTGGTACAGGATGGAATAGGTCGGGGGGGGGCAGAGGTAGGCATCTCTGGGAATCTTGGACATTGTTCTGCAACCCCCCCACCCCCCAGCAGGGACTAAACAGCTGCCTCAGGGGAAAAGAAAATTTCATTTTAAGTACCTAGGACCAGTGTGCAAACGCTTCTCCCTGAATCGTGTCACTATCACGTGTCAACAGCCACATTCCGTGGAACCGACAGATAGAGGGAGCCTGGACACTTCGAAAAACCAGGCCTCAGTTTCCAAAATGGCTCAAGAGCAGAACTTGGATTCAATACTGTTATTAATAACAAGAGGGCACATTGTAGGGTTGCTGATCAGGGACGGGTCGGGGGTCCCCCCCCCCGCAGAAACTACAGCCATACCTCAGGTTACAGACGCTTCGGGTTGTGCGATTTCGGGTTGCGCACCGCGCCAAACCCAGAAGTACTGGAACGGTTACTTCCGGGTTTCGGCACTTGCGCAGAAGTGCTAAATCGCGCTTTGCGCATGCTCAGAAGCGCCAAATCACGACACATGCGGGTCGCAGACGTGCCTCCCGCATGGATGTTCGCAACCCGTGCGTCCACTGCACTACAATCCCCTGGGAAGAAAGGAAGTTTTTGTTTTTATTATTCTCTCTACCGCCACTCCAATTTGGTTTCCCTGATCTGTGCCATCTTGGAGACCAGACTGGGGTCCTCTTGCCTGGCCAGCCACATTCCTTGAGGGGCCTGAAGGCTTAATACCCCAAGACACAAGGTCTGAGACCCTTCCGTTCCCCAGCCTGTCTCTCCCCACATCCCTTTGGACCACGAGCGCAACTTCTGCAAGGGCCACAGACGGAGTCCCTGGCAAGCGACCGTGCTGTTTCTTAAACGTGGCGCATCCTCCAGCCGTTCCACATCTCGGTTGACCAAAAACCAAAGGGCTCAGCAGGAGAGTCTGTTCCCCCTAAAGCCACAGATATTCCGCCAGGAAAGCTGCCAAGATCTTACAGAGGTTGAGCACCGTGGGCGGGTGGAGGTTCTCCTCTGTGTCCTCAAAGGTGTGCCAGACTGCAGGGAAAGGTGTGGTGATGAGGTGAAGGACTGGAACACCTTCGGCAAAGAAAAAGAGAGAGAAGGAATCAAAAGCTGTGAGCCCAGCGTTGTCTGAAAACCACGCGGTGCAGTACATTTTCTACTGAGGACATCGTTTGAACACAGGTGTTTTTTATTTCTTTCTTTAAAGGAAGAAGAAGAAGAAGAAGAAGAAGAAGAAGAAGAAGAAGAAGAAGAAGAAGAAGAGGAGGAGGAGGAGGAGGAGTTTGGATTTGATATCCCGCTTTATCACTACCCGAAGGAGTCTCAAAGCGGCTAACAATCTCCTTTCCCTTCCTCCCCCACAACGAACACTCTGTGAGGTGAGTGGGGCTGAGAGACTTCAAAGAAGTGTGACTAGCCCAAGGTCACCCAGCAGCTGCATGTGGAGGAGCGGGGAAGCGAACCCGGTTCACCAGATTATGAGTCCACCGCTCTTAACCACAGCGCCTCTCGAAGCCAGGAGAGCGAGAGGGGTCGATCCCTCTTGCTCTCCTGGCTTCAGCGAAAGCTGCGCAGCCTGCATTCGCTCCATAAGACGCATACACATTTCCCCTTACCTTTTAGGAGGGGGAAAGTGCGTCTTATAGAGCAAAAAATTCCCCCAGGTCCTTTAAACTCGCAGCTGCTTTAGAAATCTGCTTGACCCCTGCAGGTTCACTCTGCGAGCTTTCGGTCTCTGCTTTCAAGCTTGCAGCACACTGCGTTGCAAGACTTTCCCCTGCCATTCTGAAAGCTCTTGCTCTATTCCTCGAGACAACCATTTTATAGAACTGTAGAGCTGCAGGGACCCCCCCCCCGGGGTCATCTAAGATACGATAATCTTTATTGTCATTGTCCCATACAGATCAACGAAATTGAAAAAATCTAAATCAGACATTCAAAAACCCACAAGCCTGCTATCCCAGCCTCGTTGACCCCCTAAAAACTCTCATACCCCATAATTGAATACAATATACTCACATAGAGACTACCTTAAAAAGTAAAGGGACCCCTGACCATTAGGTCCAGTCGTGGATGACTCTGGGGTTGCGGCGCTCATCTCGCTTTACTGGCCGAGGGAGCCGGCATACAGCTTCCGGGTCATGTGGTCAGCATGACTAAGCCGCTTCTGGCGAACCAAAGCAGTGCACGGAAACGCCGTTTCCCTTCCTGCTACCTAGAGTGGTACCTATACAGGGGTACCTATTTATCTACTTGCACTTTGACGTGCTTTCGAACTGCTAGGTTGGCAGGAGCAGGGACCGAGCAACGGGAGCTCACCCCATCGCAGGGATTTGAACCACTGACCTTCTGAACGGCAAGTCCTAGGCTCTGTGGTTTAACCCACAGCGCCACCCGCATCCCTTGAGACTACCTTACGCTGCATTTAGAACCAAAATCACATTTGGATAGAAACTGTTTCTCAGGTGGCTAGTCCTAGTCTTTATAACCCTGTACCTTCTTCCAGAAGGCAGAAGCTGAAAGAAATCATTTCTGGGGTGCGCACTATCCTGCAGCTTTCTTACGGCACCTGGAAGCCTAGATTTGATCCAAGGTGGGAAGAGTGCACCCAATTATTCTCTCTGCAGTCTTTACAGCATTGGACAGCATTGACCGTGCACCTCCCAAACCACACACAGAGACCGTAAGTTAATACACTCTCAACAGTGCAATGGTAAAATGCCACCAACAGGTCCTTTGAGAGATTATTTTTCCGGAGGATTCTCAGAAAATATAACCTCTGCTGTGCTCTCTTCATCAGGTCTTTGCTGTTTTCTCCCCAGGTTAGCGGATTTAGCCCTGCTAAGGGAGCAGACTGCAAACAGCAAACACCGGATCAAACCAGCAACGAAAAGACCTCAGGGCAACTGGGGGAAAGCGGGAGAGAAGTACCTCTCCGGAGGAAGGGAGCGTGGTCGTCTTCGACGGGGTCATAGTAGGAGCGTTGCTGGAAATAGAGTTGTTCCTTTGCGTGAGACTCCAGAAGGCCGAGCCGGTGCAGTCGCTTCTCTAGAGAACAAAAGAGTGGGATTAGGCGCAACGTAGGAGCTATGGTCCGACTGAGAATTACCGCATTTTTCGCCCTATGGGACGCACTTTTCCCCCTCCAAAAACTAAGGGAAAATGTGTGTGCGTCCTATAGAGCGAATGCAGGCTGCACGGCTAAGCCCAAAGCCAGAACAGGGAGATGGAGCGCTGTGCAGTGCTCCGTCTCGCTGTTCTAGCTTGGGGATGGCTGCGCAAAGCACCCCGCTGCTCCGCGGAGGCTTCAAAGGCTGCTCCGGGGGCTTCAGGCGGCTATCCACAAGCCTTTGGAGCGCAGGAGTTCCCGCTGCACTCTGAAGGCTTGCGGATAGCCGCCTGAAGCCTGGAGAGCGAGAGGGGTCGTTGCACACCGATCCCTCTTGCTCTCCTGGCTTCGCTTCGCTGGAGAGGCGCTGCACAGTTTTCCCTCTCTGCGCAGCGCCCCTTCAGCAAAGCGGGGGGAGAAATGGAAGGGGCGCTAAGCAGACGGGGAGAATTTTTTTCCCCTGTTCTCCCTCTCCTATGGTCCGGTGCATCCTATAGAGCGAAAAATACGGTATCTTCAGGCTCCCTAAGCGCTTCCAGCAAATACTGGAGGAAAACACCAGCCCAAATGTAGGATTGCAAATATCCAGTGTGTGAGGATCAGATGGGGTTACTATGAGGAATTATAAAATATGCATCAAGCCATTGTGTCTGCTATGAAAGCATGGCATTGACCGGGTTCAATTCATTGACAATAATTTCTGATCAAATCCCGCAAGCCTCTGCATTTCTGGACATTTTCTCTACTGCTCATTTCTCTCTGTCTGACAAGCACATATAAGCACCATAGGACACAGTTGCCAGTTGCTTTGCCAGGCATGCATCCTGGGTCATAAAATACACCGTATTTTTCGCTCTATAAGATGCACCAGACCACAAGACACACCTAGTTTTTGGAGGAGGCAAACAAGGAAAAAAATATTCTGAATCTCAGAAGCCAGAACAGCAAGAGGGATCGCTGCGCAGTGAAAGCAGCAATCCCTCTTGCTGTTCTGGCTTCTGGGATAGCTGCGCAGCCTGCATTCGCTCCATAAGACGCACACACATTTCCCCTTACTTTTTAGAAGGGAAAAAGTGGGTCTTATAGTGCAAAAAATACGGTAGTAGGTAGTTTCTTTGATGTACCCTTCCTTGGTTTCGTTCATCTTAGGGTGTGGAAATAGTTTCACAGGAAGGGGATAAAGATCCCTATCTCCTTGCCATCCTTCCTCTCCTGTTTACCGCTTGTTTACGACCTCCGGGTTTTCCTAAAAACATTGCTTCCTATTTTATTTACTTTGAACAGCATATGCATGGTCAAGTAGGAAATTAGTTCCTTGTAGTTTTAATCTTTAACTTTGTCCCACGTGGGGTTTTTCGAAATGCGCAGAGGAAATCTGATTGGTTCTTACGGACGCTGTGTAAAAAGTTCTTTTGTGAATAAAACGACCTGGGCCGAGGGGTGGACAGGAATTATTATCATATGCACCCCTCCCAGAGTCTTGCTGGTCAAGCCTCTGTGTGTATCAGAGTCCAACCCTTCCTTTGCTTTGGGAACGCCTCACCCCACATCTGTGGCACAGGTAGAAGAAAGGTCTAAAGCAGGGGTGGAAGGGGCACCCGTGGACCCCCCAAAAGTGATGGACTTCAACTTAAAGGGACGCAGGGACCTGTCAGATCATGGGTCTATCCACCTCAGTACTGCCAACACTGTGCGGCAGCCGTTCTGTGGGGTTTCGGGCAGGGAGTTGCAGTCCACTTGGAGGGCGCCGGGTTGGTGAAGGTGGATCTATCGGACAGAACTTTACATCCCAAGCCCCCCACTGGCAGCTCATCCCTGGGAGGCGGGGTCTGAAATGCCAATCAACCCTGGAGCCCCGCCCCCTCCTTTCCCGATTGGCTCCCCGGCGCAAAGAGTGACGCTCACCAAGGCCAACGAGCCTTTCAAACCAGAGGGCTGTGTTGCGGAAATGGTTCTGGATGGTCGGCTGGCGGGCGCCCAAAAGGTCCAGCAGAACAAAGAGAGACTGAAACGGGAAAACGCAGAGTCAACAACACAGGTTCTCCCGTGCCACAACAGCAGCAAGAGTCCTGATTGCACAAGGATGGAAGAATGAGGAAATCCCAACGAAAGAACAACGGCAAGGAAAATTGATGACCTATGCAGAGTTGGCTAGATTGACATACAAACTGCGGGACAAGGACAACTGTGACTTTAAGGAAGAATGGGAGCTTTTTGCAAATTATCAAAAAAGACAACAAAATGAACAGGACTCCTTGGCAGGTTTTGAATAAACACTCACAAATTTATTAGGTGAACATATGTACAATTTTGGGGAACACGGGTGGCGCTGTGGGTTAAACGACAGAGCCTAGGACTTGCCGATCAGAAGTTCGGCGGTTCGAATCCCTGCGAACGGGGTGAGCTCCCGTTGCTCAGTCCCTGCTCCTGCCAACCTAGCAGTTCGAAAGCATGTCAAAGTGCAAGTAGATAAATAGGTACCGCTCCAGCGGGAAGGTAAACGGCATTTCCGTGCGCTGCTCTGGTTCGCCAGAAGCGGCTTAGTCATGCTGGCCACATGACCCGGAAGCTGTACGATGGCTCCCTCAGCCAGTAAAGTGAGATGAGCGCCGCAACCCCAGAGTCGGCCATGACTGGACCTAATGGTCAGGGGTCCCTTTACCTTTTTATGTACAATTTCATAATATGCAGAGAATGATATGTGTAAAGAAATCATAGAGGGGAGCTGAGAGAAGTCTTTGGTGGGGAGAGAGGAGGGATGGGGGTGGGGGGAAATATTGTAATTGATTAAATGGACTGATAATTTGTTATGTTGAAATTGTTTAATAAAAAGTTAAAAAAACCACATACACAGGTACTCCCAGGTCCTCTGCTGTCATTTGAGGCTCAGGTGGTCTCAGGTGTCCCTTGTGTCACACGGACTTAGAAAGCTGCCTTCTCTAGATTATTGTTCCATCTAGCCCAGTACTGTCTACAGTAATGTTGGAAAATGTCAATCACTTCTCCTACCTGGGCAGTTATCTTTCCACAAGGGCCGACATTGATGCCGAAATCCAGCATCGCCTGAGCTCTGCGAGTGCAGCTTTCTCCCCATTGAAGTGCAGGGTGTTTGAGGACTGGGACATTCGCAGGAAAACCAAAATGCTTGTTTGCAAAGCTATTGTACTACCAACCCTACTGAATCTTGTGAAACACAGACCACTTATAAACGCCATCTCCAACACCTCAAAAGATTCCATCAACGGTGTCTCCGGAAATTTTTACACATCACTTGGGAAGACAGGCGAACCAATGCCAGTGTACTGGAAGAAGCAAAGATCACCAGTGTTGAAGCGATGATTCTTCAACATCAACTTTGTTGGACTGGCCATGTTGTTCGGGTGCCTGATTATCGTCTTCCAAAGCAACTCTATTCTGAACTTAAAAATGGAAAGCGTAATGCTGGTGGTCAACGAAGCAGTTTAAAGACTCGATCTCAAGGCAAATCTAAAAAAATTGTAGTATCGCCACCGACAACTGGGAAACACTGGCCTGCGAGCGCTCTAATTGGAGAACAATCTTTACCAAAGGTGTCGTGGGCTTTGAAGACACTCAAACTCAGGACGAAAGGGAGAAACACGCTAAGAGGAAGGCACGCTTAGCAAACCCTCACCGTGATCAACTCCTACCCGGAAATCGATGTCCCCACTGTGGAAGGACATGTGGATCCAGAATCGGCCTCCACAGTCACTTACGGACTCACTGTTAAAACCGTGTTTATGGAAGACAATCTTACTCGGCTATGAGTCCATATATAGAAGCACCCTAGAGGTCCCGGGCCCTAAGGAAGTTAAATTAGCCTCAACCAGGGGCAGGGCCTTTTTAACACTGGCTCCGGCCTTGTGGAACGCTCTGTCTCATGAAACCAGGGCCCTGCGGGATCTGATTTCTTTCCGCAGGGCCTGTAAGACAGAGCTGTTCCGCCTGGCCTTTGGCTTGGAGTCAGTTTGATTCCCTCCCTTTCTTTTTTCCTTTCTCCTCCTGTGATGAGGCTGCATTTTAATGTTTTAATGTGGTATTTCAATCTTGTTTTTAAGTTGTATTCATTCAACTTGTTTTTATTATTGCTTGTTAGCCGCCCTGAGCCCGGGCTTGGCTGGGGAGGGCGGGATATAAATAATAATAATTATTATTATTATTATTACTATTACGAGTGATCGCCAAGGAAGAAGACATTGATTGGCAGTGGCTCTCCAGGGCATTCCCAGATCCCACCGGAAGACTGAACCAGGAACCTTCTTGCGCACGAGGCAGCATGCTTTTCCACTGAGCTCCGGCTGCTCCCGTGGCGCTTAATGTGGTTTCAAACCGAACAGGGGACGATCAGAGAGGAAGCCTCCACCCTTTCAATGTGGCAAAGGCCTGCACTTCCCTTTCTGCAAGGAAAAGCCAGCCGTTTCTCAGGCGGCCGGCTCAGAGGAGCACTCACGATAGCCTGGAGCTGGCTGAGGCCCAGGCGATGTGGCGCCTTCGCCATGCGATCAGCCAAATGTCGTGCGCCATACAAGGAGTCCTGATCCGTCCACTCCTGGAAGGCCTCCTCCCCGTCGAAGAACAGCAGCTGCAACGTCACCTTGGAGCCCTAAAACACAGAGACGTGCTGTTTTAGACCTCCTTCGGTTGTTCAACTTCAAAACAGATTGCAATGTTGCTGTTGATGCATTAGAAGACGATGGCACTATTGATAACAGACTTGGATAACTTCTCACACACACACACACACACACACACACACACACAAAATAAGCTTCTGTTATAAATTCATAGAAAATCAACCATACATCGGATCTGCACCGTTCCACTTTTATTTTACTCCATGAAGGATGGACTACAAAATGGGGAAGGTTTGATACAGGCCAGCCATAATCCCTTGAGCATACCAGCACATACACAGGAGCCCTGCCCAGTTGCTATGCCAACCCTGCTGGTCCCAGACAGAAGACCATCAAGATCACAAAGAACTTGCATATGGGAGTGGGTTCAACACGGACTGAAACAAAGGAAAGTGATCAGCTCTTCCCTCTGGGGGAAGGAAACTGCAAACTCCCCTCTGTTGGGAAAGATAGAGGGCACAAGGAGAAGGGGATGACAGAGGACAAGATGGTGGGACAGTGTTCTCGAAGCTACTAGCATGAGTTTGACCAAACTGCGGGAGGCAGTGGAAGACAGGAGTGCCTGGCGTGCTCTGGTCCAGGGGGTCACGAAGAGTCGGACGACTAAACGACTAAACAACAACAGCAACACTTTTAGACAAATGAAACATTAAAAAGTTCCCCACCGGCCGCTCTAACCACTAGCCCTTACTCCCCCTTTCTGCAAGAGGTGCAAAAGGAAACCTGGACATTTCTGCCCAGGAAAGGCCACCCGCTCACCCTCTCCTTCGATTTCTTCAGCTCCTCGTCCAGCGCCGTCACCAGCTCCATCAGGATGGCACAGGGCACAGCTGAGTCTGTCGCCCCCAGGAAGGCCCGGCCATGCTTGTCGTGGGGAAAGTATTTGGAGTCATAGTGGCAGGCAAACACCAGGCGCCAGGTGGCTTCGGGGTCCAGCGTAGCCACCACATTGGCGAAGCCGACAACGCCGTGCGGCGCCCGGTCTTTGAAGGCGTCCACCTCTATGTGCCAGGAAGCGCCCAGTTCCCTCAGCTTTTCCACAATGAACTGGGAAGGAAGAAGAGAAGGAAAAGAACTTGAGTTGCTCACGCAAGGTTCTAGTCCTCAGTTTTTCGCCCTCATAAAACTCGAGGACTTCCAAGGAGACGGAGCGCTGGAAGACTCAGGACGGATATAAAATGAATTTATTTTTCGACACGACTACTGCAGCAGCGAGGGTATTCCACGGCCCCCAATTCTGAGACGATGCAGCGGTTACAAAGGAGGACCGTAACCTGAAGTTCACGGCTTGCCATGACGTGTTTGGTCAGCTGCTGCAAGATTAGAGCTTTGACTCACCTGCCGGACTTTTTCGTTGCCAGGGCTTCCAGAGTACCTCTCGATCAGGATGGGCTGCAGGTAGCTACGCCAAAGGCGCTGAAGTTGGACCTGCGATGCCAGGTCTTTCAGCTGACCGCTAGTCAGGTTTTGGGGCTTGTGCTTCAGCTGCCAAGAAGGCGAGAGAAAAGCCTCGTCAGAAAACAACCCCAGCAGTGCCAGATTTAGGGCGGCGCAGGCAGTTGCGCTGCACAGGGTGCAGAGTCGAGGAGGTGCAAAATAACAACAACATTTATATGGGTACCCTCTGAGAAGATACATAAAAAAGGCAATGTACCAAAATTTATTATTGTGAAAATAAGAATTATTATTTTGGGGGATGGGGCAATTTTTGTCCTCACTCTGGGTTTTCCTTTTTTAAAGGGAAATTCCCTTATTCTGAATAGGATTTCTCGCAAGAAAAGGGAAAAGTTAACAGCTATGCTAGGTGCCCCTTTGAATTCTGCCGGTCATAAGGGTCTGAGGCGGATTCTGTGAACTGCCCTGAGACCCCCAGGGAATAGGGCGGTATATAAATTCAATAAATAAAAATAAAAAATAAAAGTCTTTCATTGCAAAGCCTTTGCAGCAGGACAAAGCAGCACAACCAACTTGCAGCCATAATTAAAAACGGTGGTACGACTCGTAATAATAATAATAATAATAATAATATTTTTTTATTTATACCCCACCCTCCCCAGCCAAGGCCGGGCTCAGAGCGGCTTACAAGCAATAATAAAAACAAGATGAATGATTACAATTTAAAAACAAAAATAAAATACATTAAAATAATGGAACATTAAAATATTAAAATGTAGCCTACACTGAAAGACCTACACTGGCTCCCAGTACAATTCCGAGCACAATTCCGAGCCCAGACACTGAGGTCCATTATTATTATTATTATTATTACAGTGGTACCTCAGGTTAAGTACTTAATTCGTCCCGGAGGTCCGTACTTAACCTAAAACTGTTCTTGACCTGAAGCACCACTTTAGCTAATGGGGCCTCCTGCTGCCGCTGTGCCGCCGGAGCCCAATTTCTGTTCTCATCCTGAAGCAAAGTTCTTAACCTGAAGCACTATTTCTGGGTTAGCGGAGTGTGTAACCTGAAGCGTCTGTAACCTGAAGCGTCTGTAACCCGAGGTACCACTGTATTATTATTATTATTATTATTATTACTGGAAGCGGGGGATGCGCACATCAAGAGGCAGGGAGTTCCACAGCGCCTTGGAGGGCGGCGATCTGGAAGCGACCCCCTCCCTCCGCTAACTCACGCCCGTACATCAGACCCCCAACCCCCCCCTACCTGTAGGTACCTGGGCGCCGGGGATCAGCTCCTCCTGCGGCGCCTCCCGGGGCTGGACGGCCGGGTCCTCGCCCACCTGCCAGAGCAGGTAAAGCCCCGCCAGGGAGCCGGCGGCCAGGGCCAGCAGCCCGGCCAGCCAGAGGCGGCGGCTGCTCCCCAGGCTCCGCTTCCGCGCGGCGGCGAAGCCTCCGGGCTCCAGGCCGCCCTGCGGGACCCCCATCCCCGCGCGGCCCCGGCGAGGCCCTTTCCGCATGGCGCCTCCGCTCCGACTGGGGACCCGGGGCTCCTGCCGGCCACGCCCCCTCTCGGGGGAGGGCCAATGGGGCGAGGCCGCGCCGGGCATGAATGGGAGGAGGCGGAGTCACGCGCTCCACCTTCCGCGTTCGAGCCGCGCCTCCGAGCCCCCAGCCTATCAGACGCGCCCGCGCCGAGGGGGCGGGGCGACGCGGGGCCACGCCCGCTGGCTGGTTAAGGACACGCGGCGCTTTCGGAAAGGAAAAGAGGAGGAAGAGGGAAGAGGAAGGCGAAGGGCACGCGGGGAGGAAAGGGGAAGGTGGCGGGCGGTTGGTTTATTACGGAAGGAGGTTTGATGCAGTAATGATGGGTTGTTAGCCGCCCGGAGCCCGGCCTTGGCTGGGGAGGGCGGGGTATAAATAATTTTTTTAATTCTTATTATTTAAAAATATATATCACACAACCGAAATCTGCACCTGAGCAGTGAATGCCTTTATTAGGAACAACCAAAAGGTCCACAATCTATGGGCAAGCTTTAGTATTAATAATAATCATCATCATCAGGGCTTTTTTTGTAAAAAAAAATGTTTAGGGATACTCTCATTTTCCTACTCATATTGAAATACTGCCTCTCAATGAGGCCAAACAGATTCAAAAAATGTTTAGGGGTATGCGGACCTCTGCACCCCCCAGAAAAAAGCAATAATAATAAAAATTATTTATACCCCACCCATCTGGCTGCGTTTCCCAGCCACTCTGAGTGGCTCCCAACAGAATATTACAAACATGATAAAACATCGAACATTAGAAACTTCCCTGGGCTGCCTTCAGATGTCTTCTAAAAGTCAGATACAGTGTTACCTCTGGACACAAACGGGATCCATTCCGGATCCCTGTTCTCATCCTGAAGCGAACGCAACCCGCGTCTGCGCGTGCGCGGGTCGCGATTAGCTGCTTCTGTGCATGTGCATGGTGTCGTTTTGACCATCTGCGCATGCGTGAGCGATGAAACCCAGAAGTGACACATTCCATTACTTTTGGGTCGCTGCGGAGCGCAACCAGAAAACACTCAACCTGAAGCAACTTCAAACCAGGGTATGACTGTAGTTGTTTATTTCCTTGACATCTGGTGGGAAGGTGGACGCTACTACCGAGAAGGCCGTCTGCCTGGCTCCCTGTAACCTCACTTCTCGCAGTGAGGAAACCGCCAGAAGGCCCTTGGCGCTGGACCTCAGTGTTTGGGTTGAATGATGGGGGTGGAGATGCTCCTTCAGGTATACTGGAATTATGCAGAACTCTTCACCAGCCTAGAAGATGCGCAAATGGGGGGGGGGGCGGCTACAGTAATTCGGCTACATGTTGAAGCCATTAATACCTTCATTTTATATTATTCCTTACTCACCTTCATAAGGTCCCATACTGCTTCACAATTTCTTCGGAGGCTAAGCGAAGGGCCTTTACCTGTGCCCGTCTCAACTGTTTTCCTACAGCAGTTCTGTCGGGTCGTTATTCCAGACTTCCCATCGCAAATAGAACATGCACCTGCAACGACACGGCTCTGGAGACTATGGAACATGTAATGCTCTTCTGTCCCAACTGGACAGATGAAAGATCTCGGTTTTTAACTCCTCTCGTGAACAAGCTTCATCTCCCAATCCAGCCTTGGATAGTGTCCCTTTTTTGCAGGATTCTGATTCTTGGATTACCGAGATGACAGCTAACTTCCTGCTCAGTGTGATGAAGAGGAAAGCGGCACTAACTTCTTCTTTAACACCACAGCTGCAGTCGATACGCCGCACAATCGAACGAAGTTCCAAGTAGCCTTATTGTACAAGGACAATGGAGCTAGGACAAATCTGAGGAGCTGAAGGACCCTTTAACGATCCTCCTCCAGCCTCAGCAGTTTTTTATTTTTTTGTTTTTGTACTATCTGTCACTCGATGTTTTAAATCCCCTGTCGCTTTTGTTATCCCTTTTTTTTTTCCTTTAAGCATTCGCCCAGGACGATATCTACCTTTACCTCCCCACCCCCATTTTATGTTGTTATTTCTATGTATATCATGCTATGGCCACACGGCTAATGCAATAAAATCTATATATATAAGGTCCCAGGTGTGTTATGGCCCAGGCATCTGGTTGGCCGCAATGAGAATAACATTGCTGGACATGGAGAGTCACTGGCCTAAGCCAGCAAGGCTTTATTTATGTTTTCAGCTCTAGTGTTTTTAATACATAAAACGCTTCCAAAACGTTCTGTTCCAAATGCAGCAGAATTCAGCAAGAGAGGTGGATCCCAGAAAACAATACCGTAAGTGCCAAAGACCTTTAAAAACAAATGTGAGCACCTTGAATTTAGGCCTGGAAACAAACGGGGCAAGCAGTCTGGCAGCTTCAGAACAGGTTGTGCGAGTTCTAAATGGGACTCTGGCCAGCAATCTGGCTGCAGCATTTTGGACCAACTGAAGTTCAGACAGTTCCAAGTTGGAGACTGCAGACTGAATTAGTCTTTGCTAGGTGCTGGGACGTGGGTGGCACTATGGGTTAAACCACAGAGCCTAGGACTTGCTGATCAGAAGGTCAGCGGTTTGAATCCCCACGACAGGGTGAGCTCCCGTTGCTCGGTCCCTGCTCCTGCCAACCTAGCAGTTTGAAAGCACACCAGTGCAAGTAGATAAATAGGTACCTCTCCAGCGGGAAGGTAAATGGCGTTTCCGTCATTGCTCTGGTTCGCCAGAAGCGGCTTAGTCATGCTGGCCACATGACTGTACGCCGGCTCCCTTGGCCAATTAAGCGAGATGAGCACTGCAACCCCAGAGTCGGCCATGACTGGACCTAACGCTCAGGGGTCCCTTTACCTTTTTAGTTGCTGCAACTATCAGGTTGTAGCTTGGCATTTGGGACAGAGAAGGAATCAATGGCTGGCCTCCATTTTAAAAAAAAGCTGTTACCCAGATCTGTCCCGTTCAGCTTTAATTTAAAAGACTGTTCATTTTGCCAACCAACCCAACCTTTTACATTCCCCCCCCCTTCTACATATGGCTAGATAAGACTCTAATCCACCAATGCTTATATTATAATGAATTTGTTAAATCTGTAAGGTGCCACAAAAACATCAAACTTCTGTTCTAGTTGTTATGAATTCAATTAGCCTCTTCCCACCTGCAGATCCACTTGCCATCTGGTTGGTTGAACTAGTTCACATGTGCAGCTGAAACATGCACATGTGAACCCACCGCCTGTTAACACTCATATGGAGGGGCAAAGCTGGAACTGAGGGAGATCCAATGTCATGGACTGGTTGGGTGCAGAGGAATGGTGGAAGGAACCAGCTGGGGAACCACCAAGCGAAGAATGGTCATGGATGGTCAGAGGGAGAAGAGGGAGCAGACTGGGAGGAGGAGGTGTTGGAAGCTGAAGAGAGGACAGGGCTTAGTGAGCTGGGAGAGTCTGTGGCAGAGAGCAGTCCACAATTGGAGGCAGAAGCTGGCGAATGGGAGGTTGGTCAAGAAGCAGAGATGAGTAAAGCCCTATACGGCCTAGGACCCTCGTACCTACGGGACCGCCTCTCCTGGTATGTCCCATGGAGGACTTTATGGTCTTCAAACAAAAACATCTTGGAGGTCCCAGGGAGGTTAGGCTGGCCTCAACCAGAGCCAGGGCTTTTTTGGCTGTGGCCCCGATCTGGTGGAACGCTCTGTCACAAGAGACTAGGGCCCTGCGGGACTTGACATCTTTCCGCAGGGCCTGCAAGACAGAGCTGTTCCACCAGGCCTTTGGCCAGGGCACAGCCTGACTCCCTCCTTTGGCAATCTCCACAGAACTCTAGCCCAATGGTTGCCATCAGTTTGGATTTGAATTAATTTTATAATGAAATGATTTTAGAATGTTGTATTATTTTATTGTTGTTAGCTGCCCTGAGCCCGGCTTTGGCCGGGGAGGGCAGGATATAAATAACAAAATTAGTAGTAGTAGTAGGCTGTTGAAGAGATACAGGTCTCTCTCTCCTGCTGCAACAAGCTTCCCTTTGTCTCCCAGAACCACAAGAGTCATGAAGAAGAAGAAGAAGAGTTTGGATTTGATATCCCGCTTTATCACTACCCGAAGGAGTCTCAAAGAGGCTAACAATCTCCTTTCCCTTCCTCCCCCTTTGAAGGTGACCTGGAAACTGCAATTAATCCAGAATGCGGCAGCTAGACTGGTGACTGGGAGCGGCCGCCGAGACCACCGGTCCTGAGAGATCTGCATTGGCTCCCAGTACGTTTCCGAGCACAATTCAAAGTGTTGGTGCTGGAAAGAAGGGTACGAATGGGGGAACACCCGGTGACAGAAGGGGATCTAAACAAGAAGCAGACTTTAAGACCGATATTTTGAAGATGCTTGCTGAAATTAAACAGAGTCAAAGTAATGTAGAACATAAATTAGAGCAAGTAGATAATAGGATTGGGAGAATGGATAAAAAGATGGATGAAACGGTGAATGAACTTAAAGGCCAGATAAAGGAAATATTTAGGAGAACGCAGCTCAATGAAGAAGGATTTAAAAAGACTAGATTGGAGTTAAAGGATATAAAAAGAGAAAAGGAAAAGGTGAAAGCAGAAGTGATGGATCTAAATAAGGCACAGGAGGAGATGAAGGATATTATAGCAATGAATGAATTGAGACAGAGGGAGGTTAATCTGAGGCTGAGGGCAGTGCCGGAGGTTCAAAATGAAAATATTAAGGAGAAATTAGTAATAGAGCTGGCGGAATGGATGGGTATATCAGTGGAAGAAATGGCCAAAAATGTGCAGAATGCATTTAGAATGCAGATCAGCCCAACAAGAACAAAGAGATATACAGGCGATTGCCTGATCACATTTAAAGATAAAGAGATGAGGAACAAGATTCTTCAAAAGAATAGGGAGAAGAGGCTGAACATAGAGGGGAACTATATCATTATCTTTAAAGACATCCCAATCAGACTACTTAAACGAAGAGATTCTTATAAACCATTGGTGCAAGCACTGAAGAAAAATAAAATCGAATTTAGGTGGGAATTCCCTGAGGGGTTATCTTTCACATATAGAGGTAAAAAACATAAGTTACTAAATCAGGAGGAAACCGGGAAATTCCTGAGAAAATATAAAGA